TAAAGACAATGTCAAACAATGATTTGTTCACTCTTTATCACGATTTAATCTCGTAATTTTGAAAGAACAATCACGAAACAAAAAATATAGAAAAGAGTCAATCTATTCTTATCTCACCCTCCATAATAATCTCAAGTTGATAATTGGCAAGACCAAGCTTCTACATTTTTCATTTCGAAATAATAAGACAATACCTTTTTCATGGCATAAGCAGCGAAAGTTGTTGTTTTTAGGAGAATCTAAAAAAATTAAATTTGAGACTTTTGTTAATGTTGATTCGTAGTTTTCAAACGAACCGTGCAAAATCGAATAGTACGATTGAATAGTGCCATAAGAAAAAAAATTGATGATGATTTCAAATTTCAATTCATCAATTGTTATCCAAACACGAAATAATTTGCGCATAGATCTTATATTTTCAGTAAAAAAACAAATGATGACTATTTTCCATAGAATGGATTGAAAATCTATAATAACCTTTTCATAAATGAAGGAACAATAAAGAAAAATTCAGCATTGTTTTACTTAAATGGACGAATTTGATAATTTGTATTCTGATCGAGCTTCGTTTTTTTTTCGAGAGAAAAATCAATGGCAAAGTTGTGGATCGATTCAATGAAAAACCGATGAAGGAATTTCGAATTTCACGATTGTGTTATCGGTTGGATGGTTGACAACAATTGTCTAAACTCATCTAACAACGAACAATGCCGAATTTTAAATGAAAATTAGACAAATATTATTGACTTGAGAATCTGTCGAAGAACATTATTCCTTTCGAAGATGATGGAATTGATCATTTTCAGAGTGAATGGTTTCGGTCTAACTCATAGCATATGACTATTACAGGAACTGAATAGAAGCAAAAGAATTGTTTTTTTCTAATAGAACTAGTAATAAGAATCGAAAATCCAGCTAAATTATCGTCTTTCTGTTGTATAGAACTGTCATCTTTCAAACATGGGCAGATTCAAACTATCACTCGAGTATATCGATCGATTAGATTACGATCTTTGATTTCGCTGATGCTTAATGACGTATGTCTCAGTATTATTTGCAAAGTAATTGAATTTGAGAAGCTACAGAAATACATATTCTAAGATAATAAATCCATAATTCATCAAATGCACTGAAGTTTGATAATGGATTCATGATTTGACCGAATCAAATCAATCCAATATAATCGCTTATCAGATGCTCTTGGATTTCTTTTTCGGACGATGAAAGCCTTTGCTTAGAAAGTCAAAACTCTTTTTTGAACAATGCAGAATACAATCGTTTTTCACAATCTTTAACGTGATAATAGATCATGAAAATTATATCTTAGTTGTTGTTCCAAAAGAAAACTTTTATTTAACAATGATGAACCAGTTATATTGTAGCTATGAAGAAAACTTTGTATCAATTGATGCTAATGATCTTTGGGTGAAACAAAATGAGCGATAGGTCCCCATAATTCATTTCTCTACAATGAAAAATGTTGACATTTGCCATAATAGATTTCAATGATTTCGATTCGTTCACCATTCTGATTTTGTAACGGTAGATAACTGACAAAACTAGTTGTATGGATGTGGTTGCGTACATGAACGAGGTGGATAATAACATTTTGTTTGACATTTCAAACATTTGATTTGAATTTCTTTTATATAATGTGTTGATGCATTTGTTTCATCAATATTTTCAGGTTCTTTTAGTGAGCTTCGACTGTAATCATCCATCATATCCATGGTGATATTGTTCTCTAGTTTGCCATGAATAAAATAGATATCTAAAGCATATGGAATCAAAAAATTTATATCACGTTACACTGTACAGCATCAAAGATTCTTACATAATTCATGATTCGGTTGTGCTTTGTGAATAGTACTTGTTGTCGGAGTGTGGGTATGGGTGTGGATGTGGGTTCATTTAAGAGATCAATTACACCAACATTCACACCCACACCCTCAACAAAATAGAATTCCTTTGGAAGTCGAGTCTTTCATTAAATGGCAAGAAAATCGAGCAAATCTTGATTTTTCTTCTCGACAAATAAAAATCAATAATAAAAAAAAAGAAAAATTTCAAACTTTTTCTGCCATCGACATTAAAATAATATGAGTAACAACCACAAATATTATTAAGAGATTTTTTGGTCGTTTAATGATTGCGATATCACTTTGAAAGTCGTTGGAACAAAGCAAAAAATCATTCACTTCGCTTTATTTTTCAAAGAATACTTTTCAAGCAGCACAAGAAAGTGCCAAAAGCAATTTGCTATTAGCAAAAATAAAGTTTCGTGACGGAAGTGAAGAAAGTTCTGTTGAGCTCGAGCTATAAAAAAAGAAAAAAAAAATGAGACAACCGAATATTTGTTGCTTGTACTGTATTCCGTCATGATCCTAATGATGTAAAGAAAAACATCAGTCTCAAAAACTCAGTAAATAAATAACGCAATACCAGTGTAACGAAAAGGCACACAAGCTTTCCTAGTCACCTTTTTGTTAATATAGAAAATTTTTGTTTTCGCGTGATCAATATTCTAATGGTTATTTGAACCCTTTTCTTTCTGGAAATTTTCTGGAAATCTGAAAGTTTATAGGAATTTTTCGTTTGATTTTGAATCAAATATCTTATTTTTCTTAATATCTGAAATAAAAGTGCTTATCATATATAAACTATTGAAAAAAGACATAAAAGAATAGTTACTATATCGGAGAGTAGCGAGAAAATCATCCAAATAGATTTGTAAGTTTCAATAAATCAAAAAAAAAATTTTGATTATTATAAAAATTGGATGCTGAAAATAGTCATATTCGTGTATGAAAATGTATTTTTGTTCATTTTAGAGCTTGAATATTGATCGAAGAAGAAAGGCAAACAAAGATGTTTTTTCTTTTTCATTGTAAAGAAAAATTCTTTTGAAAAAATGAAAATAATTATTTATTGTTGGTAAAACAAACATTTCTTATGAACAATATTTTTGAAAATTTTAAAAGATAATTTGGATTTAAATGAAACATTCAATTATTGCTTTTGTGAATTTTGTGCATCACGAAGCATCGCAATCTCAATTGATTCCAATAATGTAACAAATGTCTAATTATATAAAAGAATAAAAATAAATAGGGTGTGGAGTGTGAGTGTGGAGAAGCACACACACAAAACCGACACTCGCATCTCACATCCATACACTCACACTCACACCTTCTCTTGTTCGGTATCCATTATCTGTTAATCATGACTTGATGATGGAAATGGTTGATAGATTGAATCGATATGTGTGTATATTTGACACATGTCAAAATGTGTTTCAACAAAGATACACGTTTTCAAATTAAACTAATAGATGATTTGATTTTTTTTGAGATAATAAACAAAAAGAATCACAAATTCAAATACTTACGATTGTATTGTACGGAAAATCAAAGTTTGTTAGTATTCTTCTTTTAGTTTTTACAATAGCATTTGATAACTATGTGCTACATCATTAGACGTTTTTCATGACTCAATAATCGCTTAACAAATTTTTATTTAACTATTCATCATTATTGCGTTTTAACTAATGTTTTCATCATAAAATATTCCTTTTTATCATAACAAATTTCATCTCATTTATGAAAAAAATAATCGAACTTTCTATTTAATGCATTTTTGCATTCAACGAAATGATAATGAAGGCGAATGATCTGATTTAAATGTATGTAGCTCCAATTCAACAGTTTTCAAAACTGAATTGAAGATCTACTGCATAAGTAGTTTCAAGTAAAGAGAAGTAGAGTTAATAATCAGTGCTTTTCCATATGACATAGAACTAGTGGCATGTTAATTTTATCACAATAGACTTAAATAAGATTTTCATTCACTTGAACTCGTATGAAAGAATCGCTCATCAGATATTCAATTTGGTTGTTGAGATTTATTGCGTGGTAACCTGTTGAAGCAATTAACTAATCTTTCAAAGACTGATGAATTTTCCTTCATTGATGAATAAAGGTATACTGGAAAAAAAATCAAAAAATTAAACTGATATATAATATTTCGTAGGATATGATCATTCAATTTTTTTGCGATGATTTCAATTCAAAATGAATTGTCTATTTCCATTTGTTTATAAATGAACTTCTTCATAGGAGAAAACGAATGTGTGTCATAAATCGATTCAAGTAACAGAATGTTTCCAGTTACTTTACTGATGATCCCCTAAGTAGAAAAATATTCTCATAAGAAATTTATGTAAAATCATGAGAATTGGATGCCATTTTCAAGGTAGAATATTTTTTTTAAAAGTCAATAGATTTTAATTTTTTTATGGAAATGCTGAATCGTTAGCTCTGTTCTGTGATAGTTACTCACGTTAAACAATTGTCGTAATAATACGTCTCGATTAGAGAGAAAAAGTCGCCGAAACATCATTAAGAAATATAGAAAACAAAATGCCTTCAATATGGTCATTATAATTTGTAAACTTCATAGAGATCATTAAAATCTGTGTTATTGAGGTTTCCCGTTGACGAGAAATATGAAAAGATCATTGAAATCATGAAGATAGAATACGATAGATCGGTAGGTTTTTAGACTAGAATATTTACTACGAAGAATTCCGTAAGTCCGAATTCTTTGACGTTATTTTCAACATATACTTTATTAAACAATGAAAATTCTAATAGACTAATTTACGACGATAAAGATCGATGTTGCTCTTCAGTTTCACAGAAATGTATTAAATTAAAATTAAACAACAAGAAAACAAAATTATGAAAAAAATCAGATAAAAGTAAAATTTTTGTCATTGAAAGCAAAAAAAACGCTCTAATCTTTATTCATCAATCACGCTTTAATCTTACAACTAGTGATAACATAATCAATGAACTATTTCTTTTTACTTTTCATCAATTTTTTCAAATTTTATTTGTCAGACAATTTCATACAAATTTTTCTCTGCTACTAAAAAGATGTAAGGTAACTTTTTTTTTTTTAATTCTAAAATGATTTATTCAGTTAAAATTAACAGAAATCTATTTTCCACCTGTCGTACCCATTCCCATTGATGTTTTAAAAGTATCATAAATCCACCATTGAAGAGCAGTTATTGTTCCAATCATGATAATTCTCGTTCCGAGACCTTTAATACATAAATTAAGAAGACCAAAATCTTTAGTTATTTCTTTAATTGATTTTCCTTTATAATTTGGTTTAGCCATCAATGAAACAATTGAATCACCTGGATGAGATACAATAGCACAAAGAATTCCAGCTAAATAACCTGCACCAAATGTTATTCCTAATTGAGTACTTTTAGAATAATTTGATTTTGGTTCTGTAAATACATGAGTGTATAACATTTGAACAATCTAAAACACTTAAAATAAAAAAAAAATTCTCTTTGATGAAAAATACCTTTTCAAAAAAATAAAATTTGGTAACAGTATATGGAATTTGTCTTGACCATAATGGTACAATAGATCCATATGGAAATCGAGTTATTTTTCGATTCGTATTCTTTGCAATAGTAGCTGATATAAATGTTGTAGGAAATGTACCTGGTACACTTGTTTGAATTCTAACCTTAACCATTTCCATAGGACATAAAGCAATACAACCACAAAATTCTGCTGCTGCAGCTCCAGTGAGCCAAATCCATCCACGATATTTTTGAGAATTTTCATAACCAACTAAATTTGCTAATATATCTTTGAAAACTTCATAAAGACCGAATTTCAGAGCACCTTGAGTAGAATAACCTAAAATAGTAGGTACCCATCCTTTCCATATTGCTCGACCACCTTCTTCATAGATTATTGTTCGAAGACTACTCAACAAATTTGTATATTTAATTGGATTTACCTAAAATATTTTGAAAATATTCGCATGTGAATAAAAATCAACAAACCTGCATATTACATTTCGTTACATCAAGAGGTGTTATAGCTAAATGTGTAGAGCCACATGCAAGAGCACCTCCAATTAAACATTTTCCATAATAAATATTGTTATGTAAAACAACTCCAGCTGTTCGAGCATTCAATACTTTATTATTTTCATTTGATAAATTCTCTTTGCCCATTATTTATCTAGAATAGTTCATTAACATTGAAGAATATTTAAAGATAATTAGATGATTAATTTAGAGTTCTTTACTTTAATAAAACAACCATCCTATGAGGTATTCCACATTAGTCACGACCAACGTTACTCAATTGATTACACAGATTCGGCTGTTATTTTCACAATAGATAAACGTAGTAAAGTTAGGAAGAAACTGAAAATGTCAGCTCAAATGGATGAACCGTTCTGGAGATATAGACGTTGCAAGTGTATATACTCAGCTTTCATTTTTGTAAAGAACAATAAGAGTTATAACAGAAATTTTTTTTTTACTATAGATACTATCGACCATGGGTTATCACTTTTAATAATATCAAAAGAACCTTTTCGTGTGAAATTTTTATTGGCACTATATGTCATTTCTAGAAGGCATGCCAACGTAAATAAGGCAAGTTGGTCGAATCTGCGTAATGGATTAGGGTGTAGAACAATCGAAGACCCACATCCACCTTGTATTTTGATGTGCTTTTTCAAATGAGACTATTCTCCAAATGATTTATCACTCAGATTCGACCATCTTGCCTTATTTACGAGGACATACTTTGTAAAAATAGCATATGGTGCCATAAAAAAATGTCACACGACAAGGGGCTTTCAATATCATGAAAGGAGCTAGTCCATGGTGGATAGAAACTAGAGTAAAAAAGATCTCTGTTATAACTCGTATCGTTCTTTAGAAGATGAAAGCTGTGTACATAAAATTACATCGTCTATATCTCACTCAGATGGTTCATCCATTCGAGCTGAAATTTTCAATTTTCTCCTAATGTTACTAGGTCTACCTACTGCAAAAATATTAGTCAAATCGTTGAGATTGACTAAGCAACGTTCTACAGGAACTGTTCGTGTCTTAAATGTAATAAACTCCTAATCATAAAACACGATACAAAATACAAGTTACAATCGGTAAACTTTGAAATTAGTATGTAGAAGAGTAAATAGAACGGATGTGAGTGTTCATGAAGAACGGAACGACACGCACACCCACCGAATAAAAATGGCGTACTATATTCCAAAAACAATTATGATGACAATCCTAGAGTTGAGCATAACATGTAATTTCTCCAAGCGTAAACTAACTGAACGAAAAAAAAATTCTTTAGTAAAAAGAAACAACATCAGCTGTAAGAAGGATTATGATAGTTTGTTGACGATTTTAAGTGTAATGAAACAAATAAAAAGAATTTTTCTCCCGTTCATTAAAAAGAAACAGAGAGCATTGTTCATTCTGATGAATGTTTTCACCAATAGAAAAAGGAGACATGTAATAATGGGCTGGCAGTCAGCGACCTCTATCCCAAAAATGCTTTATATATTTTTGATCATGTAAAATTAGAGATTAAAAAATTTGTATTTTCTACCAGGTCTCTTTTGAAAGTCATACTTTTGAATTGCGGTGCTTTTTATTTATTCGTATGTTTTTGTTCCAGTGCTGCAGATCTCTTCGGCAGTGACTAAATTATTAAATTATGCACTAAAATAGAAGGAAATCATCAATTTATCTGGTCTTTAAATTCGTTCCACATTTGATGATTTCTTTAGATTTATCGGCTACAATGTTGGTTTTTCTCACTTTTCGTCATTAAGGAAGACGAAATTTTATTATAACAGATCTAACTTCCTTTTATATTGTGCTTAGTAGATATCTATTAGAATGCCCATGCCCACCTGTGTAGCTCAAACGTGAAGTAAGTTTTATGGTTTTAGGGAGTATTCTCTGTTGAAATCTGATATTACGGTAGACTGATGATAATTGATCGGCAAAAACAATCACCAAAATATCCAGCGCATTATAACGATATCTTTTCATATAATACAATCAAATTCACAAAATCATACATGCCATATCTGGAACTTCCCTCAAATGCAATATGTCCTCTTTACGTTAAAATGTATTTTTCTCCAAAAACTGTTACAAAAACGAGTTTCGACGTTCGACTAAACATATTTTTTGATTTTTTTGCATAAATACCGTAAAACAGGCTTTCTTGAATGTTATAATGGGTTTAGTTCTATCTGAAAAGGACGCTTCTGTTACTAACATGAAGTCGAAATGTCAGACGACGAGCAACAAGCAAAGAAAGTTAGCATAACAAAAGTCAGCGACTCGATATTCCGAAACAAGCAATATCATCTACTCTTCATGTTGACTTCAGGTTTCTGTAAAATGTGACTATTTATGAAGGTTGAGGTAAATAGCAAGGCATCGACCGATATCGAGGGTTCTGGTTTGCTCTCAACCCCTTAATAGATGACTATATGGATAAAGAGAATATTGAATTAATGCCATGTCACTTGCATAGTTCGTGACACAGATATATTATATAATTTTAGTGTCTGTCTGTCTGTCTCTATCCATGAAGAAGATAAAAATAAACGAGATATTACTAGAAATAAAGTTTTCTTTGCCCATTAAAACAACTTCATCGTGCTCCATATACAAGTTCTGTAGGAATAACATTAAAGGTATTTTAAACTTGAACGAAGGTTTTACGAGTTGAGAGAAACATACGTGCATAGATTAGCCTAAATAATATATCGTACTCTTTTGCTGAAAGATAAAAGCAGTATAGTGGTATGTCATGCGCTTTCTCCTTTTACCCTTTCAAAGAGCTAAGACAATACACAACAATAATGTAATTAGTCCAAGAGTTGTCAATTAATACGGACAAACTATCGAAGAGGACGCTGATTGTCAACGTACTTGTTGACTCAAAAAGATTCAAACACAAAGAATTTCATCACTTTTATCGTTTGCATTCTGTTTTCCTCTTGTACAAATGTGAATACCTATTTCTTAAATACCAAAAATCGAATTTAATGAATAGTTTACAATAGAAAGTATAATAAAAAAAATGAATTTACTAACTCTGAAAGTGCTTCCATACCTTTCAATGTTTCTTTTATTCGATTAGTTCTATAATACGATTAGCTTCTGGAAACAGTCTGATCTTATTGATAGTTATTGTTAATACTTTAAATTAATACAAGTCGCGAGCGTCGTTGAAATGCTAATAAATACGATATTTAGTAATCGTAGTCACTGTTTCAACAGATACAGCTGGTGGTATAATCCTCAAGAATGATTCGAATTTGATCGACATACTTTTTGGATCCTTTTCTCTAACCGAATCAATACCGCTTCTAAATTCGTTGATATTGCGACTATTGGTCGATTTTTGAAATCTGCAAGTACCATTTTCCATCCATTTCAATAATCTTTTATTATTTATTCGTGTTTCGGATGTTTATGATTGGCTTGCACAGCTCTACAGGGAAACGTCATTCAGAATTCATCGTCGTTACTAATCGCAAGCTGTATTGTTTCTAATTTAGCATAGCATTTGACAGCTTCACAAAATATTCCATTCGATGGCGAAAAATCTTGTGCGATCATTAGGTACCTCTTCATATTGAATGCGTCTAAAGTACTAATAAAATTTATGAACAGTATAAATATTACAACTGGATTTTGTTCCATTGTTTTACAATCAAAACAATGCAAGTGAGAAACACTTCTGACTAAAGTATAAGCCATTTGTTTAAAATCGAATGCTAAACAATTATTTCTACGAGACGAATTGGAGATAATATTTAGTTGCTTAATATTATGTACACAAATAAGAATAGATTTGATTTTTCGAATATTTATCGTTCTTATAATGTAAAAACTTTTTAAATAAGTATATCGAACAGGAATTGTTTTAATGTCTATATCAGTATAGAGTATTGTCGAGCAGCCTAGATGAATAAGGTTTGAACAAGAAATCAATCTAAATAAATAAACATGTAAAGCAAATCTACCGATGATGAGTGAGAAAAGTGAGAGTAAACTTTATTACTGATGCTTAGGATCAAGTGGAGTGAGTTCATTAAAAATACATTTGTTGAAGAATGGAAATCCATTGAAAAAACACTGATACAATGGCAGTATCTTCGATATATCACATTCGAGGGTGTGAGTGTAGATCATTATCTTAGCTACACACACGCTAACATCCACACCCATCCACAGTCGCATCCATGCAAAACTCACACGAAAAATGAAGAAAAACAAACGTCAATCATATAAGAATAGCGAAAATATATATTTGGACTAAAAAGATTGACAATGTCCTAGACATCACTATGGGACACTTAATCCTTCAGTTGTGTACTAGTATGTACTTGAAGATGCGGATTCCGATAGATGGCTCATAATTTCAGCTAGTTCTGCATCGTGTCTTCACATCTCATATACGCATTCTCTTATCTCTCCACTGACTACATACAACACCGCCTAGATTTTGTTGGTATCTATACTAACAGGAATGTTCTGAACTCGGATTAATCTTCGTTCCAATATCAATATTCTTATTTTTTTCAGCAAAATTTCGAACATTTTGTTCATCCTTTTGCTCAATAATTCTCGAAAAAATTTCTTAGCTCTTTATAAATCCGATCAATCTCACTGGAAATGTTTCAATTAGCTCCCTGAATGTTCAAATTTCTCCTGCTCCTCATCTTGACAACCTGGAAATACTCTGCTTAGACATCTATAAATTTTCTTTTGCAATCAAATATCTTTATTTTGGTGGTCGAAAATGCTGAAATAACTTGTTTCCACATTCTCATATGGCCAGTGTTCTCTCTTCTTGCTATAAGTCTTTCGTCAATTTTTTTTCTCGGCTTTTTTCTTTTGTTATTTTCCTTCTGTCATTTGTTGTCGCTATTTTCCTTCTGTCATTTGTTGTCGCTATTTTCTCTTTGAGTCAATTTAATATCATTCATGGCAATATCTCACAGCGTCACATAAGAATGATATCAATTACGATGCATTTATCTTTTATCAAATAAAGGATCAAACGAGCTGAAAAACGATATAAATTGCCCATGATGCAGTCGAAGTAATGGCAAGACGAAAAAACTATCATTTCTACTGGAAAAAAGCTCTTATTATCTACCTTCTTCTTGATTATTGTGAAACAATTAAAGTATGTTTTATCTTTTTTTCAAAATGAATGTCTTTTTTTAATAAGTGATTTTTTTAGATATGAATAAAATAAGCATTTTGTTTCTTATAAGCGTGATCAGTCTCATTTGCTTTACGCAATCAATCAATGGTGGTATATGTGCTTGTACATGTTGTACAGGAAACTCTTGTACGCCGAGTTATCAAGGCAGCTTTTTCCTCAATCCTTGCGACGTTATGCAATGCATAGACCAATGTCATATAAGATACACGGCATGTCCGTCGTTTGGAGATGCTGGCCATTTGAACGGAAATTGCACATCAAGTGGATGAGGATTGTGCTTCTGAACATAAGCAAACACCATATTGGTTACAATATTTCTTTTTGTCTCATAGGTTCTTAAACTAACTTCTTGAACTAAATGATTTTTTCTTCGTACTTTATCTATTAACATAAATAAATATTAATCACGACATACAAAATAGATACAAAATTGTTCTCACTATATCCGCATGATCTTGGAAAACGATCAAGTAACAATACGTTTTTTTTTCTTTTTATCAACTAAGAAAATGATTCAATGAAAGTTCCAGGATAATTCTTATAGTCTTAAGAAAGCTATGTGTATCTGTTGGAAAAGGAAAAATATCGTTGATGCATCCTTTGGGAACACAATATGATAGCTTTTAGGTAGTTTTTTCTTCATGACTATTCACATAATAGTAGCCATCATATTTTTTTTATAATCACAATACACCATATCTGAAATCTAATGACGTTTTGTTTTCGAGGCTTTGTTAATCTTTTAAAATGATACACATCATTCGTCAGAAAACATTCGATTGAAGAGCTAAGAAAAGATTCAATTATCATCACACTAAACAGGAATTTATTCTGAGGGTGTGCATATTAGTCCATGTAGAAGATTAATCGTACCTGCGTATTCACACTCATCCATTCAGTAACAGTAATGCTCTTTCGCATATGAATTTAATCTTTCCGATTTTGACCTTTTTCTTCTACAAATACTGCTCAAGTTTTCTATCTTATTGTTTTAATCCGAACAATCATGATATTTCACGCCTGTTACTCCTAAGAAAAAAAATATATCAGTTTCACAAAATGCTTGCGGAATCGTACACATATAATATCTCATTCAGATATGCCTTGCAAAATCAATTTTGAGTTTCATATATCGATGAGCAAGTTTCATTAGTAGTAATTTTATATAATACAATTTGAGAAATTCTGGTTAAGAAGTAAATTCTATACAAAATTAACATATTTTGCATAGAAAAACTTTGTCCTATTTAGAAATATGAACATGCTTCTGATGTTCAACATTTTGATAATGCATTCAAAATATATTTTATAATTCTAAAACTCGAGATTATGATGAAATGACTATGTTTTAAAGAACTCTGCGAGTCGCATGGGTCTGGGTGTTACTAAAACAAGAATACATCTACACCACACCCACTCATGCATCGAAGAAGGTAAAAGTTGTTTTAACAATATGGATTTGTAGAGAATATTTTCTGTAGGAGGCTCTTATATTTCAAATCAAAACAAATAATGTCACTTAAATTATATGCCTTTGTTATACTATGAATATTAGAAGTAAAACGCTTACTGTAGTCCAATGTGCATAAACAATGAAATCTCGAATGATGCGTTATTAATGAGATACACATCTACTCATTTGCTAGGATTACAAAAAACTTTTTTCACTAGTTTATTTCAAATAGTTGTAAGAGTTTCTTACATAAAAAGACTCCATACAAGTCTATTACTTTCTTCAATGCGTGAATAAAATAGTACAAGCATGTCTACCTGTGTTTTTTTTTGACTCTTCGTTCTCGAAATCGTCGCAATAGAATGAAGGGGTTTTCATTTTCGGCAATGGAATTTCAATTGACATAAGAATGATAAACGATTTCACCAAGAGTTGATCATATTCTATCGAAGGTTTCTATTATTTTTCCTGTTCATAACAGTTGACTGCAGATCAGTTCATCAATTTTAGTTATCTCGAGTAAAAGATGACAGCCAAATAGTCAAAATCAGTGTTTTGTGAAACTTGCTGAAGAAAAAGCAAAACTCATAATGAAGATTCAAAATCGTTTAAAACATCTCAGGACATCTATCTTCCTGACATAGTTCGAACAAATTTCTATCAACTTACAGGTCTCTCTAGAAAATCATGGCACAAGGTACAGATTTTGTTACAGCAAAAAATACCCAAAGTACGGAGGCCAAATCCGTACACGAAGAACTACATATATGCTATGCTTCGTACCGTATTAAATCCAACTTTCGTGAATTTTTAATGTCATGAGAAAAACTAAATTTTGATTTAAATATAAATCCAAAAACTGTTATTCAATTTTTGTTTCAATGTTCATTCGTAGATTGAGGTGAACTTGAAATTCTTGATATTCGGATTCATCAAGATATAATCTGAGTAAGGATACTTATAAACATGTACCGAAACACCCTCACTTTTACCTAATCTCTACGAGCCAAAGTTTAAAACATTTTTGGTCAATCTAAATCAGTTTATCCAGCTTCATATCTATTATATAAATGAATTTTTCATTTCATATTGATTTGACATATATGAATAATACTTTGTTTTAGGCCGAACATTTTTTTAAAATTTTATGTTAAATTAGATCGGATACTTAGTTTTATTTTTTAATGAAATAATTGTGACATTATTTGATAATTGTATCCTTGCGGGTGTGAGTGTGGGGTGGATTGAAGAGACGACATACATCCACACCCGACACCCATCCACACCTTTCAAGTAGGGCTAAAAGCAATATTGCCTTTGAAACTGTTCTATCAATAGAATATCAAATCAATTATCGTTTTCTTTAAATATGCTTGATATTCAGCACTGTGTTATTTTTGTCTTTCATCAAATTTAGTATAGTTGTATATGACGAGAAGACTGGTATCCAGATCCATACTTATGAACGTATCGATAATATTGTACCACTTCTGAAATATATCATTTCGTTTTGAGTTTTCGCTGTTGAACTCAATAAATGATAAGGTAAGTATGCAATTAAAAATGTATAAACAAAGAGAAGATCGTCGCTCACGCTCTTACAGCATAGATCGATAAAGTATTAATTGATGAGTAAAAAAAATAAGATTGAATTGTTTTAAAGTATGAGAATGTTCAAAAACATTTATTATTTTATTGTAATATTATAATAATGTATCTTAAGTTAAACCTTATCGTTCGTAAAGGAAAAATGAGTCATGTCTCGAATTCGCTTGTTGGCCACGAACATGTATAAAAAATATTCATACAATAACTTATTTGTTGCTAAAAGGGGTCTCTTTTCTTTTATCTATCTTTTTCAATCGTCTTTCTAGAAAAGAAAAAATTCGCTTATCATGTTTCCTATTTCTACTATGTTTTGATCTTTTTAGCTCTTTAATGTTTTCTTTTTTTCTATTTTTAAAGAAACGTCTAATACTGAAAAGATGAAAAAGCTATCCTTGTGCTTATTTCTCTACATCACAACAATCAAAAACAAAAAGATGAAGGTATATTGAAATAAACAGCATCTAAATTAAACAATCGTCATTTATCAACAGAAATTTATTTAATGAAAGGTTCTTATTATAAAAAAGAATTATCTAAACGAGTATATTTTTTCTCATCTTCTCAGTTATAATAAGGGAATATTTTCTATGCTAGAAAGACGATTGAAAAGATAGATAAAAAGAAAGAGACCACTCTTAGTAACAAATAAGCTATTGTATGAATTATATATTTATGCATATTCATGACCAGAAAGCAAACTCTCAACATGGCTCATTGAGTTCTAGAATCATACATACAAATATAACAGAAAAAAAATAGAAAAGCAGATGACACAGAAAAATGAAACAGACGAGAGAACAAGATTAATTGAAGAATAGCGGAAGTGTCATGGGTCAACGAGATGAGTCATACGCAGAAATAGACATACTTTTTTTTCTTTCTTTCCTCTCATTTATGACTTTTCTATACTCAAGCCACAATGCTCAATCAACATTTTTTTTTTGTAGTCACTTCTCTCCTTTTTTTTTGCTAACGTGATCGACTGTCTAAAATCTTTTCCGAAATTAAATAAAGCATAAAAATTTTTCTTTATTTCATACCACTATGACAGTTGAAGTTCTCTATGTATCCATTCATCTTAGCGCTTGTCTCTGTACATCCATATGGTGACTTAAATTGTTTCAACTGTGAAGACCATGAATTAATATCCTTCCTTTTTTTTCTCTATATGACCTTTCCTCTTTTCTCGTCTATTTCACCAAAATAGGAGTATATTCATACTGTTATATAGACACGATTGGTTTAGGTATCATCATTAATGATAGCGATAAAGGTACTTCTCTAGTTTGTCATACTGTACAGTTATATTATTAATTTGTAAATAATAATATATTCTTTTTTAGATCGAACAATAGGTAAATATTTTATTTTCTAAAATATAAAATTGTACAAATATTTTTTTTTTCAATGACAAGAAAAGAGAAATATCTATAAATGCATTGACGTCCTGAGTTATAAAATAATATCTGTCACTAAATATATAAGAAAAAAAATTAGAATTAGTCATTTTATTTTATTTTTGTAGAAAGAGATAAAATCAAATTTTTAAATCAACATATGGATCAAATGAAACGAAAATTATCTTTAAATCAATCATCAAAAGAAGAAATCAAGAAATTACGCAGTAAGTTATACAAATAATAGATATAAACTTTTCGTGTATTGTCATATATTTAGATGAATTCAATCGATCAATAACTTGTATTGAAAATTTATCTATGGAATTTTTCTATGAAATATTTGATTATCTTGATGGTTATGTAATATATAAAGCATTTTCAAACCTTAATCATCGTTTTCAACAACTTCTCAATTCTCCATCTCTATTGTTTAAAATTAAAATTCATCATTTAAAATATAAGGAAGGACATAGAAATAATTATAAAAAATTTCTTCGTATGAATATGCATAAAATAGTCTCCATGAGAGTATATTTATCCATACAAAGCGATACTTTTTTCTTGTGGTTTACCATTCAATCTTCACTGACCGCTCTCGAATCGCTTCGTATTTATGATATTGAACCAATTAGACTTATTTCACTTCTTATTAATTTAGCTAGTCTACCTCGTCTTTTCTCTTTAAGTATCAAAACATCTAATACTTATGAAAATCTAAATGATATTTATCGACTAATATTCACCTTGCCGACATTAAAATGGTGCAGATTCATCTTTGATCGAAAGAATAGTTCATTTTCACTACCGATGGCTATCAATAAACAACAGAGTACTATTGAATATCTTTCTATTCATCATCATTGTACTCTCAACGAACTTTATACTATAATTTCTTATACACCTCAACTTCGTCGTCTTAAACTATGCCATAAACTTGAAATTGATTCAAACATTCGAACTATATCACCAATAATATTAGCAAATTTAACAAATGTTTCGATATATATGCATCATGTAAAATTTGATGAATTTGAAATATTCATTAGAAAAATATGTTCGACATTAAAAATTTTACATATTAATATTTATTCTCAAGATATAGCTTTTCTTGATGCTTATCAATGGGAAAAATTAATTTTGAAATCTTTACCTCAATTAGAAAAATTTTATTTACGATATTATGAACGAGCTGATCGTGTATATAAATATCCTATATATAATGGAGAACCAAATCAATTTATTTCATCCTTTTGGATTGAACGACAATGGGTATTCGAAGCTGAAATCAATAGTGAATCTATCATTTATTTAGTTCATCCATACAGGTACATAAAGCAAATTTTTGTTTATGTAAAAAAAAGAAAATAATTCTCTCTTTTAGAAAAAGATGGTATGAAAATACACAAGATAAGATTTGTAATTCTTCACGAGATTTTTCCAAATCTATTCGACTTACCCTGAAAAATGTTGATTCTGATGATATTGAAGAATTACTGACAATAGCTACTAGACGTGTTTTAACTGTCGCACAAGTGTACGATTTGGAAATTCCAAAAGAAAAAATTTTCATTGGTACATTAATTGAAATTGTAAATTTATTACCAGAAATCAATACATTAAAAATTCATTCGTTATCATTATATGAACCAAGAATGTTAAATTCTGAAGAACGTTGTACTTTTTCTTCAATAAAAGATACAAGTAAAATTACAAATGTATATCTTGAGAAGATGAATGAAATTGAAGAATTTTCTTTTCTTTCGGAATTATGTCCTTATATGGAATCTTTCAAAGTAGATTATATCAAACATATAGATTTCAAATTTGTTCTACGATATATATTCAAAAAAATTAAAGAAGATTGTAATGATTGTCTTTGTGTATTATGTTTTCGTATTCCAACAGTCGATGATGAAATGATTCGAAAATTAAAAAGAATGATCAATTTTGAAAAAATTTTATTTAATTATACAATTAAACGTGTAACAGATTATATCTATATAGAATGGGAAGAATTTTAACATGTATATTATTAATTCTTTTTTAGAATTTATTTTTATTAAATAAAATAAACGGTCTTTTGTTTTTAGTTGGTAGAGTTCATATCTAGATATGATTTTTTTTTTAAATTTTTCTGCATCAGTGATGAAGTAATTACATTTGTGTTTTTTGGATTAGGATTAGACTAATTGTCTTGAAGATCATTTACACAATTATGATCCGAGATGTTTATTAGAAGAATATTCTTATATGAGTATTGTTTCTCGTCAAACATCATAATCAAATCTGCAATGGTTTTATCCTTATATTCTCAACAGAACAATGTTTAACTTTACATTCATTTTTTTCCAAAAGCTCCTTTATCGATTTCGACGATGTTTTCAAAACTACAGGTACTGATGTTGTACAATGTTCTTGACATGAGTAATGATGATCCTGAACCATCTCTCTGGCACATAATCTATTTATATCATACATTGTTGATCATAGTGCGACAAGTCAAATACAACGATGGATGTAGACATGATGACTCATTCAACCGACACACCTACACTGTGTTAAATATTCAGAAGAATAATATCGAAAAGCAAAAGAGACATTAAGCAATTGGCATATTGCAATAAAAGTTTTACAACGTAAACTCTATATGATTATTGAAAGTTGAAACGCGATGAATCTATTGTAATCGTGTTGGAAAAATTTTCGTCACATTTGTTATGCCATTGCTTGTGAGAGCTTCATTTCAGGAACCTGTCTATGAATGAGGAATTCTCTCGAAGAGGATATAAGTTTAACATTAAACGTATCGTATTGTGGATATACGCATCTGAGTATCGAAGTATAGATTGAAAAGCATATGTATGCTGTAGATGACTTTGAAATTTAGTTGGAATTGGAATAGTATCTTTCTCATTTCTTCATAAAATATATCATTGATGTATAATATTAGATATACTATTATAACACTAAATATTTTGTGTGTTTCTCTAGATTGAGGATATATTTTCATAATTTTTTTGTTAACAATAGAAACCTTCAATGCGTCAAATTGAATTGAAAAATAAATATTTTACTTTTGTACAACAAACAAGTAACTTTTTTTTTCTTCTATAGAATGAGAATTATTTTTACTATTTTTGTATAATGTTTAAAAAAAATCTTTTTAAATGGTATTTAAAGGAACAAGGATATGGGATGAAACAGTTTTTTAAAAATAATGTGCATTTCATCAAATGTTTGTCTTATAACTATGATAAAAAAAGTGCAATAAATTTTTGCAAGCACTAAGGAGATTGAAAGTTTATACGATGCACAGTTTTTCTCAGTGAATTTTCAGCCAGACTTTCTGATGCGGTAGTAAAAAGAATTGAGTTTTTTATTTACAGACTACAAAGTGCTTTGATTTTATAAACTCTTGTCTAAATCGATCACTTTATCTGATTGGTACAGTTTCATTTCCTTTATTAATTCATTCTAAGAGAATTGTTTTTCTATTTTATTCCTGCATTTCGAACTTTCCGATCTCAATTGTGACATAGATATGAAGCTTAATGAATAAAAGTTACAGTAGAATAAATGGATAGAAGTCGAGTTCTGCAGAAAAAACTCACTATTAATGGATATTAAATACATTCTAACGTGTTTGAAAATATCGGTTTGAGACCTAGCGAAAATATGTAAACCGAGAAATATACGCATTCAAACGTAGATTTTTGCAGATTGTTTTTTCCACGCGATGGGTGAAGATGTGTTGGAACTATCTGGTGTCCATATCAATTATTCATTCATACATAGGTCTTTATATTTTTATAAAAAGATAAGCCAATCCTATAGGAAAAAGACATAATTCAATACCTGATGATTCCTTTCTAGTTGTCGTGGAAGTATCTTTAACTGACTCTAGTATAATCTGATATTAAATTGGTACTTCTTGCTATAAGATTTGTTTCATTCTGAAAGTAAACGTTCAAAAACACGTTAAAAATATTTAACGAAAGAAAATCGTACATTTTGCATAGATTCTCTGCTGATTTGATTAAGTATCATAATTTCACTGGATTTTTAACAACTGTATTTCAAAATCAATTAACATTTATTCAAGTTCAACTACTTTCAAATGAATTTTTAACTGAAAAAGAACAATTTGATAACCACGCACTTAATTATACACAATTATAAGCTTTATTAGACAAAACTGCTGTAGAATTTTCAAACTGGATCTTTGACATTAAAACATTCATCAGTTTCTTATGGAGAACTGTCAAGCTGGATTGTGTTTTTGTTTCTATTTTTTTTTTAAATTCCTTTTGTTTTTTAGAAATATTTGTCATCATTTAGAAGAAATAAAACAAGAATAGAAGCGAAAAATAGATAGTAAACAGGTTTTATCAAAATATGATTGCTCATATATTCACAAATACTTTGATTAGTAATCAAGCAACAGCTTCAATCATATTGTCAACTCATTAATTTTATTTATTTCAATTTAACATTTTCACCTCATTAGAGAATGTCTATAAGTAATTAAAAATCTTTTTAGACAAACTTCGTCTGATTAATGGTAAGTTTACTGAGACTGTATTCAACGCCTAGCGAATTATAGACTATTTGCTTTTTTTCCGAGTTATGATCACTTCAATGAATTTGTCATCTATAGTCTATTGCAAATAAAATCATGTCATCGTTTCGATGTTAAATATTGCTCATAAATAGTTCTTATGAACCATATCATACATGAAAAGTTTCAACTAACTGGTGATGCCTAAATTTCTAGAGAAACGATTTCATCATTATTAACCTATTTGACAATATTCTAAATGGATGAAACACTGTAGGTTAAAATCAGTATTCTATTATTTTTTTTACGACTATGGATTCCGAAAATTGATATCTAGTTTTGTTCAAAAACTGATAAGGAAATCTTTTGAAGGTCTAAAAACATAGTCTAGTCAGGATGAATGGACCGAAGTTTTTCGAGAATATTTTGTTTGTTTTTCGCTTGCTTAAAAGTAGTTCAAGCGAGTGAAACATTTAGGCCTAGGACTAGAATTTTATATGATCTATACCATAGTACAATCAGGATTCAATTCAAACGTTTGCTTGATACATGTGATTCAATGGTCTATTCAATAAAGGTTTCATTTCGATTTGAATATATGTTCAGTGTATTCTATTCCTAAAGAAAAACCCATATTTAATTCCATGAAAAATTAGAGTAGATATCGAAGACGAGTGGTTAACATTAAATACTAAAGAATATTGTTTAACCAATTCTTTTAAAATTACTCAATTGATCTTTTGACATTTTTTTTTTCTTCAATAGAGTGGAACAAATATTTAATATATGTATATGGTCTTGTTGATCCTGATATATCTGAAATAAGTTATCATGAAAGTCGTCGAGGTACACGTATGATTCCATTTCGATCTTACGGTCAACCACCACCTGATGAAAAATTTATTGAACTCGATTATTTTGAACTTCGTGTCAACAATGTTAGTTAAACAATTGAGTTAAATATTCTAATCTAATTAATTTTTGTTTTAAGTATATTGTTCCATCGAATGATACAACATATCATTGTAAAATTTATAAAGTACCAACTACTTACACAACAAAAAGGCATGCTATTGCAATATGGAATAAATCATTTGATGATATTACTGAGAAAAAAAACAATTTCATTTTTTTCTTTGAATAGTACAAAATATTGATCGATGATGAGAATTCCGATCTTGTTCATCATTTACTTTTACATGGATGTAATTCTTCATTTATTTTTAATGATAATAATCTTCCTGATGAAGTATGTGATGATATTGTCGATCAAAGTGAACTTTGTGCGACAAATATTGCTACTGGTTGCGCAATCGGTGGTGATCATGTTATATCTATAATAAAACTTGATGCTACAAAAAAAACTAAGAGATAAATTTATTTTAGATACTTGAATTTCCTGAAAAAGCTGGATATCCAGTTGGTGTGAGCTCTCCAAATAGATATTTTATGATTCAAACACATTATGACAATTCAAAACAAACTTCAAGTAAAATAATATTGATTTCAAAATTTAAAAAAAAATGAAAGTTATATTCTAATCAGATCGTCGTGATAATTCTGAAATTCGATTTTATCTTGGTAATAAACTTCGTCAACATGATCTTGGTTATTTAACACTTGGTACAGTTTCAACTCTTTTTGGTCTTATTATTCCACCAAAAGTTGAAAATTTTATTGTTGATTCCTATTGTCCCAGTATAGCTACTGAAGTATATTACTATTCATAATACAAAAAAAACAAAAGATATCTTAATTTTCTTAGATTATTCCAAAATCAGGTATAACGTTATTATTTGCTTTTCTACATACTCATTTACATGGTATTTTTGATATATTTTTATAATTAGAAATATTTGATTGTATTTTCATACTAGGTGTTAGTTTATGGGCTAAATTAATTCGTAATAAAACAGTTGTTGAATATTTATTTAATGCTGAATCATATAATTTTAATTATCAATTTGAAAATCGTTTAACAAAAAGAATTCAACTTTATCCAGTAAAAATATTAATTGAATTTTTTTTTTCGTAAATTAAATATTTGTTTTAAAAGGTAGATGAATTTGCTACCCGATGTGTTTATAATACAATGAATAAAAATGAAATTACATTGGTATGATTAATAATTCTTGAAAAAACAAATATTAAAAAAATTTCGTTTTTAGGGTGGACAAGGAACAAGAGATGAAATGTGTTTACATTTTTTCAGTTAGTATCCTCGAATTGATGATCTTTCTATATGTTTCACTATGAATACAGCTCAATCATTACAGACATTAATAAATTCTAAGTAATTTATTTTTATTAAAAAACAAAATATCAAAAATTGAATTTAATTCAATAAATAGATCACAATTTGATTTTTATACTGCCAGAAAATGGTTACATGATTTGATATGGACAACAGAATCATCCAAACAATGGCAAGAATATTACAATAATGTTCCACGTCTATCTATTTTTACACGAGCAGGACAAATTCAGATTGAAAATCTTACTGTTTTACCAGAATATCAAGATTTCAAACCAGTTCAATGTCAAAAATAAATCATTAGAAATTATTAATAAAAAAGAAGTTTTTTTTTGCTTATTAGAATATTTGTCGTATAAACACAAAATGATCGAAGTATCGAAATAAATATTTGAGGTATGATTTTTTTTTCTTATTTTTTAATATTTTGGGTGTGTATATGGAGAAATTATGCGCTCACCCATTCTCTACATCCACACCTAAGGTAACTTGTAGGCATCTCGAATATGTACCATTATTGCTATAGTGATCCAACGCAAAAACATCAACAGGAAGTAACGAAAATGTTCACAAAAATCTCTGTTGATCAAAATCAATCAACATAGCAGTTCATCAAGACTTATTTGAACTAGTAATATGTTATCATCATATATGTAGTTTATTGGCACGAATCATGCTGGGCAACTTTATCATAGAAATGCCAATTCAATTAGTTCTATAAGAAAAGAAAGCGATGATTTTAGCATTAGAATACAGAAATATTTGCTTTTGTATTTTTTCTTTACGTCATTTTATACACTGATGAGCGATGAGAGATGCTCAAAGAATTTTATTTATCTAAGAGAAACGATTTGTCCATGAGAATGTCTTTCGAAAAAGGAAAATAGTGAATTGTACAATCATTTCTTGATTTTGAACATTGTTTTAAGTAATGGAATTTTTTCACATCTAAAAATATCAAACAAAAAAATGTATATGTTTTTAAATGAGACAACAAATAGAATAATACTCTTCAATGAATTGTTCTTTGGTCAATTTTCTTTCTGCATCCAAACCGATGAAACTGAAAATTTTTCCGGCAACTTTCATTGTTTCATAAGTCGAAGCATTCTGAGTTTCCTTTGCACTGCCAGTCTAGAGAAGCATACCATAAATTCATTATTATCGCGAGATAATCACATCAATAGAACTAGTTATCTTACAATGATCGCATTAAAAGCTGCTAATTCAGCCATATCTATTCTTCCATCGAGAGAAGTATCACACCTGAATAGATAGAATAGCTGTGAAGATAAGAAATAATTCTGAGAACTACTTACATATCAAATAAATATCCTAATGCTTCATGTCTATTATCCGCCGATGAAAAAGCGTTGGCCATTAAGAATTCCACAAAGTCAATCTTTTTGTCGTTATTTGAATCGAAGAGAGCAAATGCAAGTCTTAAACAAAATGGATTCAATTGGACAGTGAAAGACTACATAGTAAGTACTAGACTCATACTCCAATATGAGTTTTGACTTCTGCTACGAGTTTTTTTACATTTCTTGTTCACTATCAAATTGGACTGTCAGGTCAGCATTAGCATTATTTAATGCTAATATAATACCCCTGCTATCAAAAAATTGAAGCCTAACTGCAATATTCGACAGATAAAACAATAATTTAATCCGACCATCACCTACGATGTATGAATGATTGATAGGTGAACTCGTCAAAATATATTCATGATTGATATTCTCGTCTGACGTGTCACTTTTTTCTTAGCCTGTCAAATACATTAAAACATGAAATTATGACTAAATAAAGTCGATAAAGCGAATCCTTGAGTTTGCATAAAAGTCTTCGAACGAACATCAACTAAAGAATAATAATTTGAGTTTCACGATACAAGCAGTAAGTGTATATCAATGTAGTCAGACATCGATTAGAAAAAAAAATGACATCAATTATGCATGAGCATACTCGCGAGGAAATTTTCGTACAGGATTGCTCTCTTTGTGTTTCTGATAAAACTTTTCGTATGTTGCATCAGTCATTGTACCATCTGGATTGTCATGCCAGAATTCCTAGTGAGAGAAACGGTGAGAATAAATGAATATCAGATTCGATCATATTTTATATGTACTGCATGTAATTTTTTTATTTCTGCAACGAGAAAAATAAGCACATTATACATATATCAAAGAAAAGAGACTTTTGATTACCGCTTTCGCTAAGTTTTGAACGAACTCTCAAAACTTCCATGTCTGCAATGGATAATGAACCATTTCAGTAAACATATCTATACAGAAAAGAAGAACCAACCAGTCACTGTTAATTCTTTGCCTGCGCCAAGTTTAACAGTAGGTGTGGCACTCATGATTAATGGTTTAAATTGATGTTTTTAGACTTCTAGAAATGAATCGATGTAAATAAAGAAATACATAGTATATATTGTTAAAAAAAAGCAATGAATAAGTTGAGAATGAACGATTGAAGAAATGGAATCAACAAACCAGATGTAAATAGGGGCAAAAAAAAACATCATTATTTGCAACTGTTTTTCTACTTGATAAAGTAAAGGAGAGCTAGAGCACATTACATTCTTCTCGCATTTGAATAATATTTTTATCAGGTCAGTATGATAGGTATAGCTTGTATATAGACGTTTATACTGGTTTTTTTTCTCGTCGTTTCTCTTTTTTTTTTCATATTCTATCCATTGCATTCGGACGACTAGTAGTCGTCACATGTACGATGTTGTTTTGTCAATATCCTATGAAAATGAAAGAAAAAGAAAAAAAAACTTGTTTTTACTTTTGACTACATAATGCCGTATACAGGAGTAAATGGCGTAAGATTGTTTACACTAGATAGGTTATACTTATGATTGATACTCGAAACTGAAAAAGGTAATAGCTAAAGCATTTCTTTCCTTCGTACATGATGAGTCATACCATTTTCACAATGATAAATCCTAATTGTAAATGAATGGTGAATTTTATAGCGAGAAAAGTTCACTACACTCTGGTTTGTCAAATAAACAATAACAGAAATATTGATATGTTTGTCTATCTAACCTTCATGATCAACGATCGATGTGACTAAGACTCTCGTTAATTAATAAAATCGATAGATTATACTTCACATAATTTTCTGCAGTATACTTGTAAAGATTTCCTAAACAGATAGATTTATGTATTTAACTTAATGTTTATCATATTGAACATGTCTTGTAAATCAAACTCTATGAAATAAAACTTAAGACAATATAACAAATGGCCAATAATAAACGGGTCAAAATGTTTTTCTCTACTGTTTGTTTTTCAAATAACTTTTTCTTTGTGAATGTGAAATTTAAAAGATAAGCACCTACTCAATCGTATAACTAATATACCCGATTTTCTGCAGATATCTATTCATTTTGTGTAAAACTTTTCTCACCAGAATTTATGCTAAAAGTTATGTATTTGTCATCAATGAATATAGAATTACGTGTTCTCTGCTTTTACATCCTTTTCAAGGTTTCTGCTGCTGTTAACCAGAATAGTAAGGTTTTAAACGAACACATCATGGTATTTTTGAGACGCATTTTCAAACACCATGTCTTCCAAAACGAAACTTGGTCTACGACACGTTTCTTCTCTTGCCGTCGAATGTAGAATTTCATTCTAAACAAAATAGTATGATTATTAAATTGAAGAGTAGAAACATTAGATTATGTCGAATTCAAAAAACACTAATGATATCATTCTGTAAAAAAAGGATTTTTCACATTCTTTACTTCAAAAATATTTCTCCTAAAAATTCTAAAACGTATATCAAAAGATATAGGGTTTTTTTGACTGGCACAATTAGACGTATGAGTAGGTGGTCATTCTTTAAAACTTGTGTCAACAAAAAAGGTTATTTGGAAAACAAGGACAGTAGCTTAATCCATTAGAAAGTACTCTAAACAGAGGAAAAAACCTGTATCCATTTATTATGGGCTACTCGTTATTATCACATTATTTAAAAAAAAACCAATTTAATCGTTTGAGTTGTATAAAAGATATTTATTATGTAAAATTTCCCTACTGACTTTTGCAACAACCTGTTTATTAAATTGTACATAATATAGTTAATTTACTAACATAAGCATTGTAAATAATAGAATTAGAATATTTCGTAGATTATAGAGCATATTGAGTTGTTTACAAGTCAATAATGTTTTCCGCTGTCTAAAAATGAGTTTAATATCATCAAGATTTTCACATTGAGGTATTCATATGTATCTCAAGTACGGATAAAAATGGCTGTATTTCATAGAGAGAAAACAAGTTTTTGGAGAACAAGCTTGTTAGTCTAGAAAATCAGCATATATATATACTTAAGGGAAGTTTATATCATCAAGACTTTCAAGTCATCAGCTTTCGGTGAGAGAATGATTAATTAATTGAAAACATGATCATGTGAGTTATATCTTCAAAAAAAAAACGAAAGGTCTAATTAACTTTCGTTTGACAGAGTGGTGTCGATTATCTGTAAATATACTGTTTTCCGTACACTTTACTATTAGTTAAGAGTTCGGCGCAACGGTTTTCAAGAACTACTCAGTCCTTAGCACTATTATCAAGTGGAAAACAGTTTATCATATAGAAATTAACTATAAGCTCCATAAAGTGTTTATGATTACGAGTGAATAGCTCAAGTTTTAACGAATCGTATGATGTATGATGAGTTCGAATTTGCAGGTAAACGTCTCGGTGAATATTATGTATAGAAAATCAAACTAAATACCTGTTTCATCGTGGTTTCTGATTGAAGAAAAAAAACTCTAAAAATTTTCTTTTTTTTTTTAAATTTAGAGCTTGTCACATTTTTTTTCTGTCTGTTTTCAAAGCTTTTTAGAAATCGTACGAATAAATCACTAACCCTACAATAGTTATGCAATTCAGTCGTACATGGCTGATAAAGATTTTTTCGTTCTCAAATATTCTTTGAAGACATAGCAACATCAGTCATAACAATGTATTTTGGATCTTGTTAATATCGTATCCCAAATAAATGTCTAATGAGGTTGAAATTTAAATAAATTTAAACAGAGTTTTTAAAAGATTCAAAAATAAAAAATTATGTTGAACTTTAATTGAAGTCTAGTTGAACTTAAGAAGCTGTAGAATTTGTTAGTTATATTCACTAAAAAAAGCAAAAAAAAAGGAATCTTTATATCAGTAGTATATTATTATTGATGTTTATTTATCTTCGAATTTGACTTGACCTATAGATAATATTTAAAGTATGAATATAATACATTATGTTAAGCTTTTATTGA